AGGGCACACAAAGCCTATAGGATCAAAGACACGTTGAGCTATTGACAAAATTATTCTTTTGGTAATGTATTCTTTTTGTGAGATCACTTATTTCAGGCAGTTTGGATCAATATTCAGTGTATCTCGTACTGGCAAAGGCACTACATCTTTATTGTTATGGTTACTGTCCTTTCTAGTGAACTTCCCCCTTTTAAGTCAAACTTACCTTCTGCTATAATCATAGCGGCTTCTTGCAATAACCTATTGAGAGTCAATTGTAACGCAGTTGTCGACATAAAATTCTTTATTTGCCAGCTTCAATATTACTTTACAGGAATATCTGGTGTCGCCAGTCCTTCCCAACATTTCTTCAAGGTGATGTTCAATTGTTGCTTCTAAGGGAAAAGGGCTGCGATTAACGCCAAAAACAACTCTACAGTGGCGGAATGTCAACTCATTTCAATCTTGATCAACCCATAAGAAGTGAAGAAAATCTCGATCTCTCTCGTGAAGACTAATTTGCAAAAATACCTTACGGATGTCTGAAACTACTCCAAAGTTGAATTTTCCAAATTTGAGCAAAATTGACGGAATCAATTCGATGTAATTTTTACCTTTTTCCAAACGATCATTCAAAGATAGTTTGTCTTTTTCATGAGCAGACGCATCAAACATAGGCCGGATCTTTGTTGTAAAGCTATTTTCTTTCATAACTGGTCTGTGAGGCAGATAATGAATGCCGCTTTTGTCATGTTCAGATGGAATTATCTCAATTATTCCTTCCTCTAGCCACCCTTTGAAGATTTGGTCATAGGATGGAACAATATTTTGATTCTGTAATTTTTCAACAGTATTGTGTAGTCTACTTTTGGCAAAGCGATAGTTTTCTGATTTTGGTGGGTGACCATCAATCCAAGGTAACGGGACCTCATAACGACCTCCATTATTGTCACGGTGTTTGAGAAAATATCTTTGGCGACTGATACCAATTCCTCCCGTGTTCTGAGCTCGATTGGTTCTTCAATACCTAATACACCAAGATCATACAAAGAATTGATGACGGAATTCTTCACTGAGAACGACAAGGTAGAGCGGATCAAAGAGTTGGCTCTATTCAGATTATTGTGCATTGGTATTTTTCCAAGAAGAACCCAACCGATTAAAGTTTCAAAGACTACTAGACCATTGGATGATGAATGACGATTTCCTAAGAAGATTTGACCGACAGAATCAGCATCAATCAAAATCTCAATAGGTCTAGCAGATCTTATGTCTGACAACTCAATATTGAGATCTCTGAGCTTTTCAATTCATGGTCCAGAACAGACAGGCGAAACCACGCTTCATATTATTGGTTGGTCTAAAACCTCTAAATTATATAAATAATTCTAATTCTTCAATTCAATCACATAACATTCATGAAGTCATTCATTTTGAGAGTCCCCAAATAAACAATGAATAATTGTTTCCTTAACCACTGATTGGCATCCCAATTTCTCAGCAGATGACTTAAGAATGTATCATCGTTAAGAACCATTATCGATCAGAACCCTCACGTACTTTGACCCATTAGCACCAAATATGTTCACTCTCATAGTTTGCAAAAATACATGGGTTCGTGAGTTGTTGTAGGTGGCTAAAGATTTGTCAATGTTAGGATCCGCCTCTGGTTTCTTACTATAATCAAGAGTATCAAGAGACTCCTTGTTGCTAGGCAAAACAGGGCACATTATCACCAGATAAGACTTTTGACAGATAGCACATCTAGGATATCTACGACATCTTTTTGAAGTATGACCAGCTACCAGGCATCTAAAACAAAGTTTGTTACTGATCAAAATACGTTTAGCTCCAAAGACAGTTCTGTGTTTTGAAACAGTGTTTACCAATGTGATTAGAACTCCTACAAAATGCAGAATTCGAATTGAAAGTAACCAAGTTTGCGGCGGTGGGTACCGGCGAACTCACATTTTTCTTATCCAGAGAGTTCGAAACAGTTCTCGATAAATTAGCACTGGCGTTACCTTGATTGACGAAACCGAAACCCTCCGAAGCTAATTCAATACGCTGCTCGTTTTCAACTTCGGTTTTCAGAAACTTCATGAGGTTTTCAAGACGAATGTCTTACTTACCCGGACCTGACTTTTGTAGCACTTCCTAAATTTTCAGGTCCAAATCTATGTGGAGAACGGTGCCATGCTCTCAATAGATCTTGAGAGAGGCATGACTCAATGAGAGAAAGAAGCATCGCAGAACACATAATTAAGTCGTAACATATATGTATCTGCTGATTATCGCGAGGGGTTGCTGACATTAACTTTTCGAGATCAGGTGTTAGTAACGTAAATGTTCTACGTAAAACGGAACGATGCTTTTTATTACCTTCCATAGTTTTACTTTGGAAAAAACAGCAACTACTTGAAAGGTAATCTGAACAGTCTCAATGACAATTGTCCTGTTACGGTCGCCAAAAAATGTAGAGCCCAGAAGAAAAAACTACCCGTTTAACTCCGGTTCTCTCATTTCAATGGAAATTGTCAAATGTGTGTCTATGTATGTATGTGTGTGTATGTAGTTTCAATATGAAAAAATATTACAGGGTGGTTTGGTAGAAAATTCAAAATAGATTTCTTAACAAATAATAATTTTCCATTAGTTTTTATCTTTAAGACTATCTACCCAGTGATTTCAATCTTACACAATAAACCTACTGAAACTTTTATTCTCAGTAATTTTCCATCAATCATAAATTTTTTAAACTATCTCCACTAACAATTTCAATCTTACACCAATAAATAAAGGTCTCTAAAATTTTCATTCTCAGTAATTTCACGTTCCTTGGTACAAACTTGAAAAAAAACGACTTATGGACAGCATAGCGTACATGAATGTTTAATTTACTCTCCAAGAGGTAATAAAATGTTTTGTTTCGTATGCTGGCTTTCTGATAGTTCGTATTGTTGAAATATTTCTTTTATTATAGTTTTGTGATATTATTCCTTTTCTTGATGGAAAATACAGTATTACTTCGAATACCTGTGCCTTTTTACTGAATCTTGGCGCCTAGTTATGGTGTGCCTCCCCCCGCCCTTAGTTTTTAAAATCGCCACTGAGAGGATTCATCAATCCGAACTCATCCTCAATAAACTAGAACGATCTATATCAACTGCGCATGATATTGACGTCCTAGAACCTGAATTTCGCAGAACCAGAACAAACCTTGTATTATCAAAGGCGATGCAGCAACGGTAGAAATGGTCTACAGTGTTGTGATGCAGAGGTAAAAACCAGCTGACGACGGCTGATAAACTCGAAAAAAATAGTCTAGATTTGTAATACTCAGTAATTGTTGATTGAATACTCATTTAATGTGTAAGGCTTCTATAATATATTTAATATGATGAATAACTCACTAGCTACGAAGTCCTGCAGTTCTTTTTCTGTGAGATTTTCGCCTGGCTTCTTCACAATGAAAGCCAATGGAAGTTCACCAGCTAGAATGTCTGGTAGTCCAACGACTCCAACATCAAGTACCTTCGGATGATTGATTAATAGTGCCTCAAGTTCTGCTGGTGCTACCTGCAGAAAAAAAATTAATGAATATCGAATATATACCACACAAACAATACTGCCATTTTTCATTTTAGAACAACAAATATCTACAACGCATTGGTTATGGGTTTGTGATAAGTAACATCACTTTTCTTATCTGATTTTCTGAAGTAGATGAATTAGGGTCGCACAAAAAAGTTTGAATGATTTTCGAACATAAAATTACATAAAATTTACAAAATACATGAATAGAAAAAATTAGGAAGTTCGGATCCTATATCGGTGAAACTAGGAGGCCATTGAATGTTCGCATTGCCGAGCACAAGAAACACACACAGCGAGGGGAAACCAGCAAATCAGGAATAGCAGAGCATGTTTGGACCCATCAACAATAAATCTCAGTAAAAATGTAAAAACGAAAAATTTTTCAGTATCAGTTGTGAATTCAGTTCAGGTTATTTTAGGTTTTTCTTATTATTCATTCAAAAGTTGAAATGTAACTATAAATTTTGCTAGAATTTGTTATTTCCAATTTTTTTTTCAATGAATTTTGACTTTCAGTAAAGTGAATTATTTCACGAAATGATCTTCTAGTTTTGTTATTTGCTACATATAGAATTTTGGTATTGTTTTATAGTCCATAACGTAATCCTTTGAAATCACATGCTCCGCTAAACTACAAGATCTTTTATTGAGTCTACAGTCACTTTTATGCGATGTAATTCGTGAAGAGAGGTTACGAGAAGTCTTACCACTGTAACCCAAATTACAAGATGTGCATGGAATACTGTATATCACATTATATTTTTTTTCGCGAGGGAAGTTTTAATTTTCGAACAAAGGTGAGAAATAGTTTTGCAACACTTCTTAGGAATTTTGATATTTTTGATATCCCGAAAGATGTAAAGTAATTATGAATATACTGAATTGAGAAATATTGAAGGAATTCATTATGCTCATTATTGTTGTTTGAAGAAGAATAATAATTGGATTGAGACAAAACTTTTTTATCTATGAAATACATTTTTAATTATTCAAATTTGATATATTTGAGTATATATTGGAATTTGAATTATTGAATAAATAAAGATTCAAAAGCTTTGGTAAACAAGGATAATATATCAAAATATTTCGTAGTAATTTAAAATAATTTCTCACAAAATCTGATGGAATGATTTTGTAACTTTTTCTTTAAGAGCTAAATTGGGTTAGTTTTCATTTTCAAGACCATGTGGTATAGACTTCCTGTATCACATGGTCTTGAAAACTTTACCTTTACGTGTTAGGAATCACACGTTGAAAGGTAAGACCTCGTTAATTTGATAACTCCCATGTCAAAGAAAGTTATATCCTGTATGGAAAATAAATATTGATTAGGTGATTACCTGATATCCTTTGTACTTGATCAGTTCTTTCAGTCTGTCTACGATGTAGAAGAACCTATCGGTATCATAATATCCCAAATCCCCAGTCTTCAGCCACCCATCTGACGTAAATATGTGTTTCGTAGCTTCTTCGTTTTTATAGTACCCCTTCATCAGCATAGGGCCCTTCACACAAATCTCTCCGACTTGATGAGGACCAAGGGATCTACCGGTTTCTGGATCCCTCACTTTCAATTTCATGTAACTTACAACTTTTCCTACAGTTCCAGGATTTCCGATCTCATTTGGATTGACTAGAGTGACGGCCAAATTTATTTCTGTGAGACCATATCCTTGTGTGCATGACGTGATGTTCAACCTAAGGTGAGTAAAGTATGATGGAATGGCCAATACTTGATGAAAATTCATAACTAACGCATTCAAAAAACACTTTATTGTGAGATTATCACTAAACGACTTCACAAAAACGCAACACGTGTTCCGCCATATAATGGCGTGTCTTCAAGGCACGCCCGACGAAATCATTATATGACGTGTTTCGCCATACAATGGCGTGTCTTCAAAACACACCCTCGGTAGATAATAACATTTTCCTGAGGTGGCTTGAAGGGCACGATAGGAGTAAAGGTAATCGCATTGCCGACTCTCTAGCCAAGGAAGCAGCTGGACTAAGAACTTCAGGACCCAGTGGCACCTACGGCCTGATGGCTTCGACAATTGCAGAACTAGACAAATGTCACATCCATGCTCAATCCCTAAAGAGATGAGATGAAATCAAAGGATGCAATCTTGCCAGGATTACCCTGGGCGACCCTGGGAAGCTGGCACCGAAGACATATCTGGCGATAACCAGGAAAAATCTACGTAGGATTTCTAACTGGCCATGATCAACTAAGGAAACACAGTAACACTATGGGGCTAGTGGACACCTCTATGCAGGATATGTGAACAGGAAGATGAAACTGTCAGGCATGTCTTATGCGAATGTCCGGAGTTGTCAATGGGAGAGTGTGTGTTCGGTGAGTTTTGGCCTATACCGGTCGATATAAAGGAGATGTCTCCCAGAGATCTGACCACTTCCCTAGAAAGGACAGGATGAACGATGACCTAGGAGGACAACTCCTTGAGAAGATGTACAATGGGTCACATGTGGCCTAAGTGCTGTGGGCCCACACTCACCCTGCCTACTTTACAGATACAGACAGGTACACCCGAAGAAGCCATTGTATGGCGGAACACGTGTTGCATTTTTGTGAAATCGTTTAGTGAAACTCGCACAATAAAGTGTTTTTTGAGTACATTAGTTCCCAAGTGTGTTTTTTCAAACCACTCCATTCTTTGAAGACTGAAAATATATTGATGGACTAAACGAGAACAAATAGAAAAATTTGGAAAAAAGACAAATCTCTCAAAAATGAATTTTAAGGAGAGGCTAACTACCGTCGGAAAAATAAGTTTTTTTCAATCTACATTATCCAAAGTCGTTTTAAACTCCTGTGTTATTAGCGACTGAACAATGCATCAGTTGTAGGGGTATTATATAAGGTTGATCAAGTTGATATTTTCTAAAAATTTTACAATATTTCCAATTATACATTTAGGTCCTGATGCGTTGTTATTTGAAGGTGGGATGCCATGAGTTAGTCTTCCATTGAGATATGGTAAACAGTTACGGAAGAGTCGCACACTTCACACATAGAGCTGGTGTCGCCGACAATGAGGTATCCATGGGTGAGGCGAGTGTGGCCTATTTGCAGGCGAGATATTATGACCTGGGTTTTCCTACTTGTCGGAAGATGTATCCATCGAAGTACACTTGTTTTCACTTTGGAATGTTTACTGCTAGACCCATTCCAGTGAGGATCATCTTGTAGTAGGGTCTCATATCTGTATGAAAAACATAGTTTTCGGTACTTCCTAAAATACTGATAGTGTCTTCTGTAGCTAATCGTTCAGCCTTTTCGATTCCTATTATACCTACCTGTGAAGGGAACCATATGAATTTTCTGACTTCCCCTTTTCCATAGAGTATATTGATCAGTTCTTCTATGTGCCGAATGATAGAATGATTGAAGTATTGGTTGATTGCTTCCAGGGCACTTAAAAAATCTGACATAGTTGAAAATTGCTCTCCTCTGTGTACTGCAGTGTTTTCCATATGTCCTGAAGATATCTATTGAACACTGTGTTTCCTAAGAAGAGTTTGAATGGTGAATTACATTGAAGACTGGTGAAAGCAGTTCCTACGCCGTCTTCAGACTTGGATGCGTTCGTGTAGATTGTTTCAAAATCCTTCTATTTCGTATGAATCATTTCATACAGATTACATTTAATGACTTCCCAGTTAATGGGATAGTCCATTAAGTGTGGTTAGGAACATGTGTGTCGGAGAAGGTTATTGTTTGATAGAGGTTCAAATTATGTAGATACTGATTTTGTCTTTCGTAAAAAGAAGGATCAGCTCTCTCCTTCGTAAAAGATGTTGACAAAAATCTATGAGCGATTACATTACGGTATCCTTGATTTCCAGGGTGTTCTGTAATGAAAGCAGCATAAATGAGGATTAAAAACTACCTTCGGGTTGCTAAATATGGTTCGCCTGACTCACATTGTGAGCTTTCGGTTGGACATGTGCAGAATATCCCAAGGGCAATCCTGATAGTATTATTGTGAACAGTATCCAGTTGTTTCAGAAACGATTTCTTCATTGAATTATATAGTATTGATCCGTAGTCTGACTTTGATCTGATTAAGGATCTGTAGTTTGTCATCAAAATATTTGTATCTACACTCCAAGTTTTCGAAGTAATGGTCCTCATGAGCTCAAAACCATTCTAGCATGACATTTTCAGGTAATGCATATGTTTTTTCCAGTTCAGCTTTGGATCGAATAACATACTCAAAAATTTGACCTTCAACGTGGGCGATATTCTTGTTAAACATTAGTAGTTTGGGTGAATTATCTTTGGGACGTTTAGAGAAATGCTTCTTTTGGTCTTCTCCAAGTATATTTGTAGCCCGGAGCTTGAGGACCATTTTTGTAACTGGACTGGAAAATATTGAAGATGATTATGGACAGTCTTTAGATTTTCACCTCTACCAAATACAACCAGATAGTCCGCATAGATTCTTGCTTTCAGGGGAGCTTCACAGTCATCAATTATATTGTTGACGGCTATGAAGAATAGATTAACACTCAGTGAACAGACCTGAGAAACTTCGTTTCCCTGAAATCTGTTTGAAGAGAGGGATACATTCACACGCACTCGAAAAATACGGTATGCCAAAAAATTTGGGACGAATTTCAACATATATCCATCAAATGACCACATTCGAATTGTTTTGATAATTGTGTCTCTCCATACTGTATCATATGCTTTTGATATATAAAAAAAAATGCAATACAAAGGTGGTCATTGGCAAAAAATTCATTGATTCATGGATTTCAGATCCGAAGTCTACCAGATAAACGAGTGTAGATAGTTCATTTTTCGAAATACACTTCATTGAGGTATGAGGAGCTTTTGTTTTTCCAGACTCCACATTGATCTTTTCAGAATTTTACACAGTCCGCAGGTAAGTGCAATCGGTATGTATGATCCACTTGACAATTTTGAATGGTCGGTGAAAAAGTAAGTTGAAAATACAATTTGATTGTATATAATCTCAAAGATCGAATTTCATGTCTTTCTCCATAGAGCAGCTTTAAAAAAACTGTATCAGATTTCAAAAATGCTTCCGGAATGGATCAAAGAATAAAATTCCAAGTCAAAACCCATTTTGATCGAGTGTGCCTCTAGATGATTGAATATTGAAAACCTAAATAATACCAATGAATTCGAGGACACTGGATTGTTCTTTTTTTGGTCATTTCACAGTAGACCATCCTCAATAAACTTGATAAACGAGAAAAGTCACTCGGAAGCCAAAGCCTTTGTGGGGGTCCAATCTATTCATCTATTCAAGATGAAAGTGACTAACTTCAAAAAAAATATGAAAGGAAAAAAGGAAATAGGGCATCACCTGAAACTAGTCAACTTCAAACACATATTCTACTAATTAGAATCATTACATCTACACTGTAGGTTCTTCAAAATAGTGATATATAAAATTTTGCTCAAAATTATGTTAGTGTACCTGATTTGAAGAAATAAATTCAGCTGAGATAGAATTATTTCTCGAAACACGAAACAACTATTTGAGGCACGCACTTTAGGATGAATTATCAAAATTGCAGAAGTTTGATGTTGGAAACCTCATAGTTGTAACAAAATTCATTGAATGAGACATTTGACATAATTGTAGTAGGAAGTAAATGACAAAATATATGATGGTGAAATTTTTGATATGAGAGACCGAAAAATTCAAGGGGGGTGATAGTTTGCGTAAAATACACAATTCATATCATCGACCATTCTATAGACCTGGAAACTTATTGGGAAAAATATCTTGGGCATGCATAATTTATTGAATAACTTCCACTTTGTAGTGATGAGCGATAACAACATTCCTCCGTCTACCGAATAAAAAAATCATGAAATTGGCAGTTTCTTCTCTGGTTCTTGTATTTTTGAAACGTCATCAAACTCCTTCAACATATATCACAGACAGTTTGAAAATTGAATGATCCGAAGAATAAACTACCAGATTCATTATATTTTTTCATATACCTACTGAAGGCGGAAGCAGATTTCATCCTCGCAAATGTTAAGGATAAGTATCTCTATTTTCTAAATCAAAATGTAGAGAACTTCAATCGATTTTTGGTTACTTATCTCACGAAACTTCGCAGGAACTTTCAGCTTCACAACACATTCAGCTTCACTAAAACATTGCAACAAATAATGATAACACATATAGTTTAGAATACGTGAATTATTCTTTTCTGTGTGAACTATGATGAATCTATATGAGAACATTTTGATTTTGATTTTGATTTTCATATGAGAATATGCTGGTCAATCCAGAAATTCACGAAGTGCACCAGAAGGACTCCATTGGGATTTTCTGAACAGAACTAGATTTGTTAATGCTCGCAACAGCTGCAAACTTAGGATAATCCTAACGGGTCTGAATCCTTCTGGTCGGTAGCTGAAGCTGTTAATCAAACATTTACAAAATTCACAATTCCACGATTGACACAAGCGGATGGTTCAGTTGCAACAACAATTATAGAAAAAGCAAATCTACTAGCTGAACAATTTGCGTTCCATTGGGAAAGGCACCACCCACTATTCCCGCAGTGGAATCCACAATGCCGAACAATCCAGAAATTCACGAAGGGCACCAGAAGGACTCTATTGGGATTTTCTGAACGGAACTAGATTTGTTAATGCTCGCAACAGCTGCAAACTTAGGATAATCCTAACGGGTCTGAATCCTTCTGGTCGGTAGCTGAAGCTGTTATTCAAACATTTACAAAATTCACAATTCCACGATTGACACAAGCGGATGGTTCAGTTGCAACATCAATTATAGAAAAAGCAAATCTACTAGCTGAACAATTTGCGTTCCATTGGGAAAGGCACCACCCACTATTCCCGCAGTGGAATCCACAATGCCGAAAATTATTCTTCGACAACGTCTAGTAAGGCGAATTTTGAAACAGCTTACTATCAACAAGGTGTCTGGTCCTGATAAAGTGCCCGTCATCATACTCAGAAAGAACGCCAATGAACTCGCACTAGTAATTTGTAGACTTTTCAACCTGTCTCACAGGGATGGGGTCTTTATTATTCGTTGGAAGATTGCTTGTGATCAGTCTATTCCCAAAAAGGGCAAGAAAAATCTTCCATAAATCTATAGACCAGTCACTCTGCTATCGGTGATACCAAAAATTATAGAGAAAGCCCTAAACCATACTATCCAATTCAATGTCACGGAAACCCAGGCATCGAATTTCTCCAAAAAGATAAATGTCTCCGAACCGAATATAATAATGTCAGGACAGATAATTCCGCTTTCTGCTTCGATGAGTTTGCTGGGGTTGAAATGGACACCAATTTGTCATGTCGTACCTACCAAGATTTTCATATTTACAATGACAACTATTTTATTCTCATAGTCCAGGAAGTGAGTAATTTCCAGACTAGGCCAAAAAATATTATTTTCTCAAAGAAAAACCGTCCGGGCAGTGGGTACTTTCCGGTCGGTTGCTGAAAAATAATAATACACCATCATTTATCAGTACCTTTTTTTCAAAATATCTTCAATTTCCTTATTCAACGGAGCAGCTCCACAGAGAACTGACTTGACGGATGACAGATCATATTTCGAGAGTAAAGGTGTTTTCGCCATAAATACTGCTAAAGGGGGAGCCACCATTAGGTTTTCTATTCGATAATCCTGTATGGCTTTGAGATAACTTTCTGGTTCGAATCGTTTGAGAACCACTAGTTTTTCCCTGTTTACTATTGAAGTAATACCCAGATTCAGACCATATCCGTGATAAAATGGCATCAGTCCCAGAACCGTGTTACCCAGAGAACGGTTTACCGTTCGAGGATCCCTAAAAAATGGATAGGAAATATTATATTGCTTCAAAAATTAAATGATGTGTGAATGACACTCATTGAAAACTTTCACATATCTTTAATTTGACTAATCAATTATCAGAAGCTATTCATTAGTAGAACATATCAAAATATTGTACTTTGAATATAATTAGCAAGATGACATGCTGTTATACCCAAGAAATTCCCTGTATAATCGAAATAAAAATCGTATTTTCAGTAAATTTATTGTTCAGTAGTTTGTGGGTTGGTAATGAATCAAGTTTCATCCGTGAATCAGAAACCTCTTGTTTTAACCATAATCAGACATCCCATTGGCAATCGCCAGAGTAGCTAAGCGGTTACGCGTGTATATAATGCATTAATTTTTTCTATACAACGAGTTCAAATTCTACTGCTGGAAGTTTTTTTTTTGAGTGTTATTTATCGGAGACTGACTGACAGAATGAGTTTATTATCCAAAGCCATAATTTCAAACAAATATATCGTACTTTTCTTTTCTACGGTCAGTCGTAGAAAAAGTATGGTACGCACCTTTTGAATAAGGTCAATTACTTCCACTTGCGAATTATCGCACTCGGCAACGCCTCGTGCCTACAATTTTTCGCTCGTGGGTAATTGATTTCTTATCCAACTTGGTACGTAATATATATTCATAATGGAGAACTTAATACAAGTATAGAAATGGCAAACTTTTTAGTTTACCCCGATGAGTTACTGCGTAAAAGCAAAGTGTTTTTCACAATGAAAAATGTTCTATTTATCAGTAACTTTTTTTTTGTGAAACCTATCCTGGAAGTTTTAGCAATAAAAACTTCAACTACACGTCACGAACTGTTATAATACTAGTAGGGCATCGAACAACAGGTCTAGAGCAGCAGGACTATCTGACAGCCCTATCAGGCTAGCATGGTGAATCCAGCAAAATTGCAAAAAAAAATCAATTTGTAGCTAAATAGTTGCCAAAACAAGGATTCTGTTGCTCGCGCCGATCCCTAGAAATCGCAAATAATGCTTTCGTGATATAAAGGTAGCAAGGTAACTCAATAAATTATATACTTTGATCTCTACAGAAGATTTGGTTACTATCTAGTTGCTAAATCTTGGATATAGTAAAAAAAATTTAAACATTTTGTTTTCTGATCTTGAAACTGGTTTTCCTTAGAATAAAAAGAGCTTACTCGAATATACCTTGAGTATTTGTAATGTAAATACAGTGTTTTTTTAATTTGTTGATCACCAGGGGTATACTCAAACACACCTTGGGTATCAGCAACAAAATAGTTGGAACCGATCGGTCGATTTTCAATTTTTTTTTCATATTCTTTGTTCTTGCTATCGTGAAACTGGTTTTCTTGGAATGAAAAGTATTTTAAATTTGTTGTTTATCAGGAGGGGAACTCAAGTACACTCCGAGAACCAGCAACAAAATAGTTGGCCTTGATCGGCTGATTTTGAATATTTTTTTTAAATCCTCTTCGTTCTTGCTATCTTGAAACCGGTTTTTCTGGAATACAAAGTATTCTTGATTTGTTGCGCATTATAAGAATACTCAAATACCCCTGGAGGATGAGCAACAAAATAGTTACCGATCGATTCCAACTATTCTGTTGCTGATACTCAAGTTGTATTTGAGTATACTCCTGGTGAGTATACTCCTGGTGAAACACTTTTCATTCTCAGCAAAACCAGTTTCAAAGTAGCAAGAACGAGGAAAATGAAAAAAAAATTTTTGAAAATCGGCCGATCAAGGCCAATTATTTTGTTGCTGATTTTCGGAGTATATTTGAGTACTCTCCTGATGAGCAAGTAATATTACTAAAAAATGAAAATAATCTAAATTCATAGCGTTTGATTTATGTATATTAGCAACAAAGAAAACAATAGCAGGAACTCTTCGAAAATTCTCAGAAACAGCACCTATTTTGATGATTTTTTCCCATTCAATCAATCAAAACTAGAATCCTTCTGAAGCGGGGACTTAAATATTCATATTGTTAGATCCATATGCATGATATAACAACAAGTGATGTAGTATTGCGTGTTTATTTTTTTCAACAAATCTTTTTTATCAATGATTATAACATAAATATATTAGAGATTATTATTATATATACTAACATAATAACTATGAAACTGATGTTAAAGTTGTTTAAGATAGATATGAGGTTGTGTACTTTGAACAGTATCTCATTGAATACTTATTTAATTTACTCGAAATGATCACCATTTGAATCAGCGCACTTTTGCCAACGTAACAGGAGACGATTAATTCCGTCAGCTTGAAAATTGTATGCTTGGGATTCGATGAAGTCGACGAATGCCGGTTTTGCTCTGTCCTGATTGACGAAGGTTCTACTAGTAAGGAAGTTAGAAAAGATGGTAGTCGATTGGCGAGAGGTTTATGAAGTATGGTGGATGAGGCAGAATTTAGACGCTCAATTCGTTCAATTTTTGGACGGTGATTTGTAGAATGTGCGGACGAACGTTGTCACGGAGCAGAATTGGACCTTTTTTGTTATCCAGTGTCAGCGCTGCTGACGCAATTTTTGGTACATTTCTTCACACTAGGACTCTGGTGTGATGGTCGACTACTTCGGGGCTAAAATCTCCTGAGCGAACAGTGTGTTGAATGACACTTATCATTGCCAAATGTCTGGTTAATTTTACGGGCTGTTTCGGCAACGCTTTGGTTCAATTTTGAATTGTAGAGAAAATTTTGCCGAAAATCGCTCAACGACATTATATAGTAATGAGCTGAAAATAATCAAAAAATCAAAATTTTGAAAAAAATTAACAGCATCAATGCATGGATTACAAAATTCCCTATCGATCAGTTAACGTGTATATCAAGACAGTAGTAAATATTACTGCAGTTTCATCCCAACATCAAACCGTTATTTTCAACACCTCAACACGTGTTTCGATCACCAAGTAAACATTTTTATGAGGAAGAAGGAACTCCTTTTGAATTTTAATGTTTCTTTTGAAGATGATCACTTGGTGATCGAAATACGTGTCGAGGTTTTGAAACAACGGTTTGGTGTTGGGATAGAACTCCGGTAATATCCATTTCTACACCGAAGGTTCCAAACAGTGCATCACAAGACACAGTAGAATAAATATTTATTGGGATATAGACCTACAAAAGCACATTGAATCAAGATGGACAAAACATTTGAGACAACCTGATATACTTAAAACAGTACTGAAGCGTCGAGGAATATCATAGATAATCAAGTTATGTTTGTAGTATATACTCTTTTGTTTGCAAATGGTCTTGAGATGATTCGCTTGATTCCTGTCGAGTATCTTCCTGCTGGTTTTATCATTCGGGATCGAATGATCAATTCGTTTTATTTTTGAGAACTCTATACGTTTTTGTTTTCAGAGGCTGAAGTACAGTAGTGTACAGTAGACTCTATGATACTTCTATTGAAATATACATGTTCACACTGATTTCAACCATGAAATTTCCAGCTGCTGTAGGTAACTTGTGATGATTATTAAAATTCCATTGTAACTTGTTCTTTCATTATAAATTATGGAATGTAATAGTATCACAATCCGTGAATGCATGAATGAAGGAGAATAAAAAAATACTCCGTTGAAAAGGTTTATGCTGAATCAACTCGTAAGCCATCATNAATGAATAATGATAAGGTTTATGCTGAATCAACTCGTAAGCCATCATTCATACTGATTGAAGAAAATACTACATCATTAGGTGTTGAAGCCACCATAAAGATCAAACATTCCTATAAATTTAAAAAATAGTGGACAAAAAAATCGATAACAGAAAAAACAAATTCGACACCAACACGAAGCCACCAGCAGAAGCCAGCCGCACATTCGTGGTATGGTTACTACATCTTGTGTTTACAATAAAATATTAAAATCACCACGGAGGCAGCTATAGCTACCTGCAAGACATCCGATCCGGGAAATTATACAAATATGAATTTTATTGAGTGTCTTGAGTGAAGTTAATAATTGGACATAGCACATAGCGGCTGGCTTCTGCTGATAGCTCCGTGCATTTGTATTTTCTTTTTTTTTGTAACCAAGTGTTGCCATCCTTACACTTGGCTGCACCAAACTGACGATGAGTTGAAAGCCCGAAACACGTGTCTGTGGTTTGCCAATATCTTGAGTGATATGTCCAATTATTAACTTCGTCATTAATATCAAGACACTCAATGAACTTCATATTTGTATAATTTCCTGGACCGGATGTCACGCAGGTAGCTATAGCTACCTTCGTGATGATTTTAATATTTCCTTATAAACACAAGATGTATTAACCATACCACAAATGTGCGGCTGGCTTCTGCTGATGGCTCCGTGCGTTTGTATTTTCTTTTTTTTGTGGAACCAAGTGTTGCCATCCTTACACTTCGTTGCACTATACTGACGATGGGCCAAAAGCCCGAAACACGTGTATATGGTCTGTCAATTTTTTGAGTGCTATGTCCAATTATTACAACTACGTCAGGTTTTGGATGTAAAATTTATGATTAACGTGTATTATATTATGATTCAATCTTCACTGTCATACAATGTCATATTGTGAGGAGATTGTACAGGAGCAAATCGTGTTTTTATAGCTCAGAAAAAAATCCCCACCTAATTTTCAATCTAGATAGAACTTGGAGTTTTTAATTCATCGGACTATTTATTCAGTGGAAGATTTCTATAAAAGTGACCGTACATTATGTATTATTTATATGTATTTGAATTTATACTGTATACAATAAATGTTTTTCACTCGATGTAAATCCGTTATATTTTATTCTGCATATTGTTGTTAT